AAGCACTGAATAAGATAAGTTTGATGAATTCTGGATACTTTGAGGCAATAAAATAACAATAATTTAGTGGGCCGATTTCAAGTCTTATGCGGACTACTCCTTTCCCCAGGCTGTTGTATCTTAAATTTCCCCCAGTAGAACAACTTTTCAAAAATTTCCCCACCCGCTGGGCATGAGGAAGATTATGCACCTCTGGTCCTCTGTCGCATGTAGTTTCACATTATTTTCTGAGATCTTTGGATTTTTCTTCTAAAAATGACATAACCTTTACAAAAATTGAGAAAAATAGAAATTTTTTTTAACCACGAGAGAAAATATTCAAAGAAATGGCAGAAATATCCGTTGAAACAAAAAATTATATAAAAAGAAATTATAATATCATGAGAAATAGAGTTTTTGATTATCGAAAGAGGCTTAGAAATTCAAGGTCTTATTAAATGATGTATAAGCAGTGTTCTTGATAGTATGGAAGATTTATATCCAAAATTAAGAAGATTTTTTAAACTAAATTATGGGTACTTATTTGAATAACTTCTACTCAAATTCGACAAGAAAATAATCAGCGTTACGCAATAAAGTCGCCCTTTTGAATCATATATTAAAGAAATCCAACAGAATCTAAAGGAAGTTAATAAAACAGATATGGATTAGAAAGAAATAGAGCAAGCTTCCCGAAAATACCTTGACAACAAAAATACTGACCTTGACTGGGACCAAGAAAATCAAAAAGAACTTAATTGCGCGTAATTGTACGACGCAACATAATGCGACCACTGTTGTTGAAAGTAAATGTCTGCAAATCATTTCTTGTTTTAATTGTGCTTTTGAAAGAATTTTGAAGAAAAAGGAAAGTAGGGTTGGTATAAGCTTTATTCTGTCAGAAAACAACCGGAAAAATATTCCATTATAGTATTTTAAACTAAAATTGTCGAACAACACAAAATCAATTTTTATACGAATAGAGATTCGAACACATGAACTTAGCTTTGCAGTAATAATAGGGTTCAAAAGAGAATTTCACTATTTAAAACCAAGACAGTTAAAAAATGATTTGAGTATACTGATATTGACGAACTTAGAAAATTAAAATGAATAATAAAGTTTTTGTGACAGCGAAACAGTGCTGTGGTTGGTAAAAGCGCAGGGAAATCTAAAAGAGTTTATGATGAACATGAATCAACGCTGTCTGCTAAATGGTTTAGGATTAAAGTCCGAACGTCCTTATGATAAATCTTCTATTCTAAATGATACAGTACTCGCATTTTCTGATTTGTTAGACAATCCATACTCACCTCTGTAACGATAACTCCTGGTACGATAAGGTAATTCATAAGACAGTCGAGCTTCCGCTAATAAACATACTGCTTAGCATGTCTCGACTTCTTCCTTTCAATGATCTAATTTTTTCAACTTCATTTAAAAGATATTTTCTTTGTATAAAAATTTCATAATTTTCATAGTTTTCATCGTTAGATGGCATTGATGGCACCACTTTTTTTCTCATTAAACGTTAACTAAATCAGGTAACAAGAATGAAAAGGTTTTACTGGAAACAGAAGCTGAACTTGAGATTGATATTCGAAGTAAACTTCTAGCTGATTCTTATGGATAGATGTTCATTAATATAATGTGACGGAGAGAATATGTTTCAACTTCTCCTGTATATTTTGGTATAAATAACGGGTTTATTAATCTTTCTTTAATTATTCAAATGACTTGTCTGGGTTTATTAGATAGGAGATATTTCATTAACGTTAAGTTTATGGTTGAGATTTTTCGTTAGAACAAATCTTATTAGAGTGTTCTTAATTTAAACTTTATTTTATTAAAGGGAAGACTAAAAGAGTGATTTCCAAGAGCACTGAAACTGACAAATATCACTGCATCAACTTCTTAAATGTATCAATACAGTCAGGTATGGACTGATACTGATGATAGCTACCGTTTTTGACTAATAACGAGAAATATCGATATATCGGTAACTATCCAAATCATACAACTGGTTAAAAACTATTATCAGAAGGGAAATAACAACCTCTTTTTTATTTTCTGTTTAAACGATAAACAAAAGTGGTCAATGAAGATGAAGCTTATTGATAATAAAAAAAATTATTACATGATCATTGTCCATTTTCAAATTTATGGAATCGTTGAGCATCTCGAACGACTATTTCACGTTGATGAATTCTAGATATTAGTTTTATCGCCTCATGACAATCTGAACATATTCTTAAATTATTAGCTATAAACAATGACTCATTTTGTTTAGTTGATATAAGTCCATAAGCTGTAGCCAATTTTTCACTATGTCCCATTATAACAGATAATGGTGTTTCACCATGCTCTGTTTTAACACGACGTGTTATTAAATTACAATCAAACTTATGACCATAATCAATTAGTTCTTGTTGTAATTTATGTAGTTCATCATAGATTTCATTAGATTTTGAATGAGATTTATCGTGAGCATAAAATGAATGATTAACACCATTTATTTCTATACATGTCATACCTGGTATTTTTCTTATATTTTCATTATTAATTTTCTGTCGAATAGATTCAGCTTTATCGTATTCACCTGCTGATGAATATGTATTTGCTAGTAAAATATTAGCAGGTGCAAGCTGATCATTAGTTATATTTTCAATTTCATTGATTTTATCATAAATTTCTTTTGCTTTTTTATCCTTTTTGTATGTTCGAGATATACCAAGTAATGTACTCCACATAACAATATTATGTTTATTCGTTTTTTCATAATTTTCTATAATTGATTGCGCTTCATCCCAGTGTTGTGAACGGGCTAAGGTATCAACCTTAATGAAAAAAGAAAAGTCTTATAGAATGTAGATGAACAGCAGAGCAAAGTTAATATACATTTGACAATTATAGTTTTCCTGTCCATTGAATGGACGTACAATTTGTCTCCGTCACATTATATTAATGAAACATCTATTCATAAGAATAAATGTTAGAAATTCTAAAGAGTTAAACGTTTTTATTGTAACAAAAAAATAACAAAACTCACCATTGCTGCTGTAACAAATTTATTCCAATATCTTTTATCTATTGAAAAAAAGATTTTTCTTGCTTCGTCGACCACACTTGAATGACTGCATGCATTTAATAAAACAGTGAACGTTTTACTGTCTCGTGTACTAAATTCTTGCTCTCTCATTTTTCTATATAATTCTAAAGCATCATGACCTTGACCATTTAAACCATAACAATTCATCATCCTATTATACGTAACTGTATTACGCTCACTCATCGAATCAAATACTTGTCTAGCATTGTCAATATCACCAAATTTGCCATACATGTTAATTAATGCATTATTAATTCTAATATCTTTTATGTCTTTATTCTTGTCTATTATTTTCGCATGAATTAAGTAACCTTTCTGCCTCGATAAACACATACTACATGCATTAATAACAAGAAGATATATTACATTTCCAAGATAAATTTCATGCTTAGTCATATCCTCATACAATTCAGTTGTCTTCTCAGGTAATTCATTCATATTATAGCGTTTCATCATCGCGCCGAATGAAATAATGTAACGTTTCTTCAACATTTTTGAGAACACCTTCCGCTTTTCTCATATCAGCCATTTTCCCGTACATATCAACTAATGTGGTCTGTATAATTAAATTAGTTTTAAAAGTTAAATCGAAGTTTTGAAATATTAATTTTTTACGGCACTAAGCATGCTCGTTACAATCACTATAGTGCCTCTCAGTTTTATTGGTAAATAAACAGTTTATTGGAAATCATGAAGTAATGCAGGTTTTCCAGGTAGCAATAAAATAAGTCCAAAATTGAGTATACGGAGTTCGCCGAGCTCACATTTGTAGAAAAATATTTGCTCTATATACCCTCTATCTCGCAAAGATCTGATCTGCTCAGGCTCTGGAGATTTCTATGAAAGTCATACATGCAGAGCGGTACTGCAAACCGGATTAATTAATAAGAATCTATAAGACTAGCACCACTATTAAAAATGATTCAATAGAAAATAATTTCTAAATATGTGGTTGATCTCCCCTTGTAAGATTACTTCCTTATCCCTTATAAAAGGGTGAGAAAATTAAAAACGAATTTAACTTGCTATTCGATAGGTTAATATCAATGGTGACACACTTAATAAAATCAAATAAAGAAAATTCTTGCAAAGGTCAAAATGATGGTTTTGGATGTCTGTTTTTTCAGAAACAGTAAAGTTGGAGGGTTAGTTTGGTTTTGTTTGGAAACCCAAACAAAGCTAAGTATTATCTGCATCGATTTATGAAATTCAGTTTTATTGGCCTTTTGGATGAATTGAAATCAGACATCCTGATTCTCATACATCCGCAGTTTAAAAAACAGTAAAATTCCATTTTTCAGATTTTTGTCGGTTTTTCTTATAACCGTCTGAAAAACAATGTAAGAAAAATTCAGATCAGTTTTTTTCCAAAATGTACAGGAGAAGTTGAAACAATAGATGACTCTATGAAGAGTCGAAACGTCAGATCTTTTTTTTTAATAAAATAGATTTCAGTTTAGTCTATAGCTGGTGTTAATTTAAAAAGGAATAGAAGTCAAGTCTATTAAGTCAGCATGAATTCCCAAGTTATGTGACCTTCAAAAGTTTGAAAGCGTCATAGCATTGTTTAGCCAATTTGTGTAAATAACGCTTCCAAAGTATTGAGAGTCACATAACTCGTGAACTCATGCTAACTTGATAGACTTGACTTCTATTCCATACTTGGCTTCGAAACACCTACTCTGAGAAACTTTTCTGATCGGTGAAAAGCTATAGCAACTGCTTCTGTAAACTAAGGTGGAAAATATGGACTTTCTCATCGTAAAAAATATGCTTCAATTTTGTAGTGTCAAGATCGAGCTACAACACAATGAATAATAATTTCGACAGTACATTCATTCGACTTACAGGCAATGGACGTAGTGAATCGAAGCGATTCACGTTATTTATTGTTTGCACACACGAGTTAGAGATGTATAAATGCATTTTGCCCTGTTTCCAAGAGAAAAGACGCGGGGCGTCTAACATCGATGTCGATGTGTCGAACGGACATTTGGCACGGAGAGGCGGAATCAGTACAGTATGAAAGTTCGGTACCGAGCCATGGTTCGTACTAATCTTTTGATAAAAGCACTATTGATATATTCATTATACTATTCTAAACTAAAACTATCGAAGAACACAAAACCAGTTTTGTACGAATAGAGATTCGAATATGTGAACTTAGCTTTGCAGTTAACTACAAAACTTACTTATTACATTTTTAAGGTATTAGATTATGATTAATAAGGGCTGATTAATGCTAATTAGCCTCATTCTGATGCCTTATCACTTTCATTTGTAAGTTACCGCTTTGCTGTGGATCATAAAGGAATACAGAAGTCAAAAGTTAAATTCAACAGTCTTGGTGGAAAATATCGAAAGGAAAACGCCGAAAAGAAGGAGATTTCTTTCTGTTCCTTGAAAAGCACTGAATGAGATATACGTATTATTATCATTAGAACGACTATTGGTTCTCATCAGACGTCCCCAACCTCGTAGTAATTATAGCCACTCGTCGAAAAAGTAAAGTATGATGAAGTTCAGTATGGCTGCTACGATGAATGCCTCACCCTCACACCACCGGGGACATCAGCCCCAAAGCAATCAGGAAATACAACAGCTTTTCAACAACGATTTGACACACTCAATGGATGATTTCTCAATAGAAAATTTAATGCAAAACAGCTACTGGCTAGATTATCGTTCTTAATCAGGAAAAACGAAAAGTTAGTTCACGATCTATTGGCCCTATCATTTCTCTTCTACTCTCTTTCTCTATGTAGTTTAATAAAATATCTCTTTCATTGATTTTCAAAGGAACAGAAAGAAATCTCCTTCTTTTAGGCGTTTTCCTTTCGATATTTTCCTTCTTCCATTATCCGCTTTCGATGTTTGCCTTTTCGGCATTTTGCTCTTCTACATTTCCTCTTCGACGTTTTGCTCTTTTTTTATCGACATTTTCCTTTTCGACATTTTTCCTTTCGATGTTTTCCGTCAACACCAATTCAACGAAGGAAAGGAGAGATGGTGAGAGTGAATGTGGAACTGAATTAACATTTGAATAAAACTTTTGACTTCTGCACTACTCAACTAGTAATATTTATAAATACTATATATATAATATTTATATTAATCATGTCGTTAAAGAAGAAAATATCTGTCGGAAAAGGAATGTTAATCTACGCGGACAGGTATATTTTTTGATAAAAGTGAAATATAGCTATGAATCTCAACAGAGAAGAAGACTATATAAATATCATTTTCTATGGAAGATAAATTTGCAGGCTCATGTTTACGAAATGGGTATAAAAGAAAATGACAGAAAAAAGCAAAATATTATTTATACTTATACTCAGTTTGTCTGAGAAAATGGATAAAACTACTTGCTTTGAACCTCAAGGAAAATATTTAGAAGATTTTTTTATCTTAGCTTCTTGTTGACACGCTGGAGCGTGTCAATAGACTCACCCAATATTTTTTGAAATTTGAACCTCATACTATCCCGTAAAAATAGTTATTAGAAGTTGTAGCTTTGAATGTGGTCTGTAACATGCCGTCAATGCCCACCTTAATCGCGATACGTTGTAGAGATAGATCAGATCTTTTGTAAAAGTCCGATCGATTTTGCGAAAATTTACCTATGCTGTTAACATAACGATCGAACGGATTGAGCGGAATCTCTGACTTTCAGTTTTATGAAGCATGCTCTTTCTGGTGACCAACACTAGTATCCCCGCACTCCAGCGCTCACAGTGCAGCGAGGCTCTCGAAATTGTGAAAATTTTGTTGTTTACTTTTGTTAGTACACACAGTGAGCCTCATAATTATCTCGGCGCTTTTTTTTCGATTTTTTGCTTGACGTTCTGAGCTCGATCGATACATTTTTTACAAACAGCTATGTGGTGGCAAAACAAGACATTTTCAAGCTCTCTACGACATTCTTTTTATGAAACCATTGAATATAACCCACGGACGAGAATGATAAATACCTAGCCAATGATGCATTCAATACTTTTTCTGGTGGGTTCTCGTCGGTGGGTTATCTTCAATGGTTTTCTGGTGTAGTAACAATCCTGTTGGCTTGTTGTACCATTATTAGTATATTCGTGTAAACATTTTGTTGGATTAGCAATTTTATTTAACCTGTATCAAATTAGCGATAAAACACGGTTCAACCACTAGGTAAGCGAAAAGCAAAAGGGCGTCCCAAGAAAGTTAGCACAGCTTTAGAATTTTTAAATAGCTTCAACTTCAAATACTGACATACAAGAAAGTACCTGAGAAGGTGAAGTAAATTCACACTATGTAACACAGGTATCCTTTATGTAAAACTACTTTTCGAACTCACTTTCACACTGCTCTCACCGCTGCAAATTTTGAAATTTCATTAGAACTGTTATTAAACGAGCTTTAAAAGTACAGGAAGCTTTCTTTAAAATTTCTTTCCATTGCTGGGAAATTTTATTTTTTCTAAATCAGGAGCGAAAAAATGACAACTCTCAATTTTCTCCATCAGAACTCAACTTTTATGCAATAAAAGTATCATGTTCGGAGCCAGCGTCGAATGAGTCGAATGGCGTAGTTTTTTATCGCATCTACTTTTGTTTTTTTCGAATTTTTACGTCGAAAAATTACTGAGATTTTCACCAAAAGATGAAAGTCGACGAACACCTTCAAATCATACATCATTCGACTCAGTTTTCGACGCTGACTCCGAATGTGATACTTGTATTGCATAAAAGGTTATGACGGAGGAAACTGGAGAATTTCGACTTTTTTGCTACTGATTTAGAAAAAGTGAAATTTCTCAGCAATGGAAAGGAATTTTAAAGAAAACTCTCATCATCATCGTCCAAAACCAATGGGTCTTCGGTGGGATCGATAGAGGCACACGTGAGTGCTTTGCTGTACTCGTTGAAAGACGAGATATCTCCCAGTTATACAACAATATACTCGCCCGGGTACAACGATATTCAGTGAAGAGAGGCGGGCGTACAATAGACTACAAGCCGGCCCCGGAAATTACATACATCAAACAGTGAATCACTCTTTACGCCTCGTCGATCCAGCAACACGTGTACACGCTCAAAACATCGAAAACTTATGGATGTGTGCCAAACAGAAAAAGAAGTGAACGATGGGAATGCATGTTTCTCTGCTGCAAACTCATCTGATCGAATTCGTGTGGCAAAGAAGATTCTGTGAAAGACCATTGTCCAATCTTATCACCCAAATTCAAGAACTTTATCCTGTTCTTTCTGTTGAATAGTTTTTCATTGTGTTCCCGTTAGTGTCTGTTTATTTAAAATTAAATTTTGATTATTTAAATTTGACTCATAATACATCGACCTCTAATCATTTATTAACATTTCTTCTCTTTCTGACGTCTTATATTCGGATATATGATTACATATTAAAATGAGCCAATCACAATGTTTTTCCTGTTCTGTATTATACGCACACTGTATAGTCCA